CCCTAGGGAGCCACCCTGCCTTGGAAATCGAGGGGGAAACAAACCAACCGAACAGGAAATGTCACATTTTTGACCCACTTGTGTGACCTGGGATGGGGCCTGAGCGGGCACCTGGAGGCTTTCTGCCCGGCTGCAGGTGGGGCCTTCTGCCCAGTGTCCCTGGGGCACCCCTGCCCACCAGGGCCAGCCACGTGCCCATCATGGTGACACCTAGCAGCCCCCAACTCTGCCCACCCCCGTGTGAGGACGCTGGCTGGGAGGACGGGGGATGCTGGGTGCCTGGGGGGCTGGCGTCCCTGCTGGGCTGGGCTGGGCTGCTGTGTGGACCGCTGTCCCTGCAGACCTGAGAAGAAAGGGCCCCCAAGGCCTCGTTTCTTCAGGGATAGGAGGAGGTTCAGAGAGGCTGAGTGACTTGCCCAAGGTCACACAGCAGGACTCCATGCTGCCATGTCAGCCTCTGGAACCCAGCGGGGCCAAGGGAGAGAAGGGAGAAGGTGCGCGGCCCGCGGCCCGGGCTCACCAGCCCCTCTCAGGCCAGCCGAGGCCTGGCCAGGAGGACAGAAGCCCGCGCTGTGCTTGAGGCTGGGCGGGCGGCCACGGCTGTGGGCTGTGGGGACGGGAGGCTGAGCACGCCCTCCGCCTGCCTGGCAGCAGCCCGTGGCCGCCCGCCAGGCCCTGCCTGACGTCAGGGTCTGACCAGGGACATAATGTGCTGGCGCTGGGACAGGGCTGGCTGCAGAGGCAGAGGTGGGGCCGTGAGAGGGAGCTGGCGGAGGAGGGGAGAGAGGCCGAGGGGGACGGAGAGCAGGACGGGGTGGACAGGAAATGGGGAAACAGATGGAGGGAGAGGGAAGTGGAGGGGGAGCGAGCGGAGGAGCAGGAGGAGCAGGGAGAGGTGCCGAGGAGCGGGGACAGGAGGCGGAGGCGGGGACTCAGGGGACATGGCCAGGGTCCGCTGTGCCCTCTGACCCGTTGGCCACCCTGGGAGCAGTGGGGGTCCTGTCGGAGGGTCTCCCTCACCTGGGGGGGCACAGAGCCCCACTTCGTGGGGGTCCATCCATGTGAAGTGCTTGGCAGAGCCCTGCACATAGTAAATGCTCAATAAATTGGAGCTGAGAATTAAGAGGGGCTGGGGGAGGACAGGAAGCCCAGAGGGGGCAGAGGTGAGAGCGGCCCCCTCCCAGCAGCGGGAGAGCTCACCCCCACCCCGTGTGACTCAAGCACACAGACCTTGGCCTGCCCTGGCCTCTCATGGGGCCCAGCCCCCTGTATATGGGCTCAAGAAGGCCACGATCCCAGGGCCATCACGTCAACAAAGCCAAGCAAGGCCAGGCCTGGCCACTCTGGCCTTCCAGCCCCATCATTCCTCACCCAGCTTAATTACCACATGGTCCAGCAGGGCTGAGGGATCAGGCCGGGCACTGTCCTGCGTGGGGGCAGCTGGGCTCCTGTGCCCTCCATGGACGCAGGGTGCACCCCAGGACCCCCGCCACGCTGACAAAGGCAAAGCCCCTCCCTCCTGCTCCCACTCCCCCCAGAAGTCTTGGTCATCCCGAGCCGTGCCTTGAAATCCCCCTGTGCTGGGCACTTGCTATGTCCTAAGCGCTGTGCAGATTCGCCCACGAGATACCCCCAGAGCCCAGGAGCCTGGTTATTCCCCGTCACAGGTGAAGAAGGCGAGGCCCAGGGCCACCAGCCAAGGAGCAGCAGGGCTGCCGGCCACTCAGTGGGACAGTGGGTGCCATCTCCTGTGCAGGCCACGCTGTGCCAGGTGACAGGTTCCCAATTAGCTCCTTCAACACCAGGTCATCCTGAAGCCACGGTCCTCAACGGGAGCAATTGGCCTCCAGGAGGCCACGGGCTCTGTCTGGGACATTCAGAGATGTCCCTCTGTCACCCGGTGGGAAGAGGCCCGGGATGCTGTCCACACCCTGCAGTACATGGGCGCCCCACGGTGATCTGTCCCCAAGTGCGAACGTGCGGGGCCAAGGACCCCGGGGGAGGGATGTCGGCTCTGACTTCCTCGTCCCAGGGGTGGAAGGCGGGGTGCAGAGGGGTGCGGCTGCCTGGGAGGCCGCCACCACGCGCTGTCCTCCACCCAGGCCCGCTGCCTCCTGACGACATGGCCACTGCCTCGCCCCGGGCCGCGGGTCCCTGCTGGCCGGGTGCTCTCCCGTCCCCATGCGCAGCCCTGTYGGGCTGGGGAGAGGCCGGGCCAGGGTCACGGTGGGAACCGGGGGTGCTTCGTGAACATGTCGCATGCGCAACAGCACCAGGGCCATGTACGGCACCAGGGCCATCTGGAGCCGGCCACGTGAGCGCCCCAGAGCACGTGTCTTCTGAGCACTACCATGCGCCCGGGTCCCCAGTGCCCAAGCCACAGCGGCGAGTCCGCCCAGGGGCCGTGGGCCGTGRACAAGATGGTTTCAGAGGGACCGAGGAGACTGTGCCGAGGGGCGGGCCCTCCTAGAGGGCGGACCCAGAACCTGGAGCGGGAAGGCAGCAGGGTGGCCGCCCCAGGCAGGGGGCGATGGTGCTGCGCGTCCGGCGGCTCACAACGTGCGGCTCCTCGGCTTCCCAGTTGTCGGCGCAGAGGAAGGACCCAGGAAGGACCCCCCGGAAGGACCCGGGAAGGACCCCCAGGGAGGACCCGGGAAGGACCCCCAGGGAGGACCCCAGGGAAGGACCCTGGGAAGGACCCGGTCCTGGCGGTTCCTAGCCCCAGGTCGTGGCCTGGTCGCGGGGTGCTCCTCCTTCTGTGCTGAGTGAGCAACGCAAGGGAGCCCTCTGTCCACAGGAAGATGGCCAGAGAAGGTCTGAAGGAGGTGGCGTGCTTGGTCACTTGGTCCCCAACTGTCGGCCCAGGGTTTGAACCCAGAACTGACTCCAAAGTGCACACCAAGTAGATCACCTTCTCCTAACAGCGGACATGCCTGCATCCCAGAACCTTCTGCTCTGTGGGACGTGCTCTGTCCTTCGAGAGGGTCAGACATTCCAAACAGCACGGAAGGAAGCTGGAAGGAAGCTGCAGGACGGCTGCCCAGGGAAACTAGTGGGAAACGGAGGTTCAGAGAAGTTAGGGTCTTCCCCAGGGTGCACAGCGCCCCGCGGCAGAGATGGGATTCAACCCTGGCTGGATCCTTTCCCAGAACCAAGACCCCTGGGCCCGAGAGGCAGAGCCTGCGGAGGTGGCAGGGCCCAGGGTCGGTGGAGCCTGAGCAAGCCCAGCAACACCTCACGCTGCGCGCATCCGAGAGGAAGCTCAGGGTTGGCATCCGGCCCCCAGAGTCCAAGGCCAGCCCTGCGCTCCTGTGCCGGGYGCACTCAGGCAAGAGGCCGGCCTCCCCTCTCTGACCCAGGGCTCCTCTGAGAGCGCCAAGTAGAATTCTGCAGAGTTTAAAAAGCTCTGAGTATTATAAAATAAAAATGTGCAGTCTGTCCGCTGGCTGGCCTAGCACAGTGCACAGATCGGGTGTATAAATGTAGTCATAATCAAATATGATGAACAATTTGAAAAATTCAACAATAAACAAAAGAGTTTATTTTTCTCTTGAGTGAATGAAGCCCAGGTGTAGACAGCGTAGGGAGTTTGGCAAGTGCACAAAGCCCTTCGTGTCTCAGCTCCTTCTTGTACACTACTCTGCCTTTCCTAGGGGATGACCCTCCTTCTCATGATCCAAGATGGAGGCCATGGCACCAGCCTTCACATCTGCCTTGCACATGGCAGGATAGTAAAGAAAGACGAGGAGTGAAGGGCAGCTAAATCTCCAGGAAGGATTTCAGAAATCGCCACCAATTTCCCACTTCAACGCGATGGCCAGAACTCAGGCGTGTGGCTGCACCTGCCTGCGCGGGAAGCTGGGGAAAGCTGTACTTATTCAGCACAGTCACAAACTCAGCTGAAAGTCACTCAAAGATTTGAAAGTAAACAAGATAATTTCAGATCGCGCTGGTGACACATTGTGGAGGAACAAAATGGGGTCACCTGCTGGAGGATGGGGTGGGGAAGGCATCTCAGGGAGACATAAATGACGAGAAGGCCTCATGGGACAAGCATTCGGGCACCCGGAACAGAGATGGTGCTGCCCTGAGGCAGGARCACGCCCAGTGGCTGAGAAGCCGAAAGGAGGCCACAGAGGCTGGAGCCAGGAGAGACAGGGACACTGGAAGGAAATGAGGTCAGGCAGGGCTGGGTCCCCGGGGCTCTGCAGGGGACAGGAGCTGGGGTCCACTCCATGAACGGTGAGGGGTGGCTGAGAGGGGGAGGCGCCAGGAGGTTGGCCTGGAGCCTGCGAGGACTCCCCTCCTTCCTCCCTTGGTGGCTCCCTCAAGGTGGGCAGGGTCCACGGCAAGGTGCCAGGAGCTGGGCTGAGGGGCGGCCCCAGGAAGAGGGGAGACGGAGCCAGCGCCCACCCAGGGAGGGGAGGGGGCGCCAGGGGCAGGACCACGGAGCTTCCTGCTGTGGGTGACACTTGGAAGCTGGCCCTGTGAAGGCTGGGAAGAGGGCGACCAGGTGGCCGGGACAGCTCGGGGCAGGCCCGCGAGCGGGCGGCCGAGGACAGCGCGGGGACGGCCGCCCAGAGTCTCCCAGGCCCCGCGGAGGCGCAGGAGGGCGGGGCGGCTGCCCTGTCCCCGGGGAGCGGGAGGGAGGGCCACCAGGAGGGAGGGCCACCAGGAGGGAGGGCCACGGGATGATTTACTCAGAGCTTGACCCCAGATCCCTGGGAGGGGCCGCGGCGGGTCCTTGACAGGCAGGGACCCAGCTCCCCCAGAGGGTGTTTACAGCGGGGACAAGGACTTCTGCCTTCCTGCGGTTGCCTGCGCCTGCGGGCTGTGCCTGCCCCAGACCCGGTGACTCAGCCGCTGGCCCCGCCCCGCCCCTGCTGGCCCCGCCCCGCCCGCTGGCCCCGCCCCGGCCCTGCTGGCCCCGCCCCACCCGCTGGCCCCGCCCCACCCGCTGGCCCCGCCCCGCCAGGTCTCAGAGCTGCAGGATCCTGGCCCAGGAGCGCCCAGGTCCCCGTGAGTCCCGCGCATTTCACGAGGCGGGAACAATGGGCGGGAAAGTCAGGGCGGGAAGCCAGGCCGGGAGGCCCTCCTTCCCCGGAGGCTCACCCCCGTCCCAGCTCTGCTGAATCCTGGCCCTAAACCTGACACCATTTAATAAAGAAGGAAAAGAAAGGAGGGAGGAGGGACCCGCTGTCCCTGGGCTTCTGCTCGAGGCCCCTGAAAGCTCTGGGAAACAGAGAGGCTGTGCCACCCAGCGTCACACAGCAGTCACCTGGCAGAGATGAACTGAGCCCGGCCCGGCTGTACCCGTCCCCATGGAGGATCTGTCCCCAGGTCCCTCCAGCCTCCTCTTCCGCAGCAGAGGTCCCCCGCCGCCCGTGGACCCCACCCCCCGCGGGCCGTGAACTGAGCTCCCTGGGGGCCTCAGGGGTCAAGGGGCTTCGCGCAAAGCTCAGCTGCCTCCTCCCTTCGAGGACGTGAGGCCCGAGTGACCTGGGGACAGCTGAGGGTGGGAGGAGCCAAGGGGCTTTCCAGTTGCCCCGCTCCCCACCCCTCCCTGCGGCCAGGCTGGTCCTGAGGCCGCAGGTGCCACTCGTCACCCAAGCGCTGCAGCTCTGCTGGGGACAGAGCCCCCGGGGCCGTCTCGCTGTCCGGAGGGAAACGGCGGCTGGTCCGGGTCAGGGTTCCTGCCTCCCTGGGCCTGGGGACTCCCTGGGCCTGGGGACTCCCGGGGGCCTGGGCCACTCCTGGTCTTGCTCCCGCGGACTTGAACCTGAACCTGATCCTCCGGAGCCTCCTGCCTGGGGACGGAGAGCTGTGGACTTAGCAGAGGTCAGGAAGGACGTCCAGTGCAGCTGGAATTCCACCGGTGGCCAGTGGTTCGAAGTGTGCCGTGGGGGCCCTGCGCTGCTTTGGGGACACTCTCTACTGAAACATTGTCGCTGGGATCCTGGTGACCTGGGCATCCCGAGCTTTGCCTGGCRCCCTGGCTAGGGGACCCCGAGCGGGCCTCCTGGGCTTGCACTTGAAGCCAAGTTCCTCCCGGCTGGGGGGGGGGGTCATGGACAGTCACCCGAGTCCCCGGGCTCAGACGGTCCACAGTGAGGACCACCGCTGAGGCTGGCTGGGCYGAGCAGGCGGGAGGCTGAGGGGCGCAGGCCGGGCCTCCCTAGCGCCCCCTCTTCCTGGGGGGAAGACCGAGCTCCACGTGACGCCTCCCGATGTGCACAGGTTGACGACTGATCCACGCGTGTGCGCCTGTGGGAGCGCTCCCGGGCGAGGTTTATTAACATCGTTAGGAACCATCAAAATGCACATGCGCAGCTGGGACTCCCGGTTTGTGGGCTGTCGGTCTAGAGCCCCAGGAAGGACAGTGCCCAGCTGTGGCCTGCTGGCCCAGATTATGCTAGGAATCAAWGTTTGTTGATAGACCAAGTGACTGTCAGCAGGCACTGGAAATCCCCAGCGCACACGGCCCTCCCCCAGCGCGGGGGTCTGCGCGGCTGCAGTTGTATTTGGCCTCCCCAGGCCTCCAGGCCACTCACCTTCACAGGTTCTTAAACTCCCGGAGCCCAGTGTGTGCCGGCCCCGGGGAGGTATTCTTTTTATTTTTATTTTTCCATTTGTTCCTGTTTTAAATTTTTTTATTATTAGTTGTTCAAAACATTACAAAGCYCTTGACATGCCATTTGTTCTTGTCAGTTATGCATGAAGGAGAGCATTGGGCATGTCCCGCACACGGATCTGACTCCCCGTCTTGTGGTYGAAGGGGATGTGGAGCAACGTGGCCGGGTTCCTGTATGAACGAGGAAAGTGACGTCCGGTTCACTTGACTGCCTTCCTGTTTCCTTCCCCTCCTCCCCTCATTCCCCTGTGCCTGATCCAGTGAACTTCTATTCTCCCGCCCCCTCATTAYGGGTTACCGTCTGCACATCAGGGGGAACATTCGGTCTTTGGCTTTTTGAGGTTGGCCTATTTCACCAGCATGTTCTCTGTCCCCTGCCTTTACCTGCATATGTCAGAATTTCATTCTTCTTTATGGCCGAATAATATCCCATTGTGTGTATGGAGCACGTTTTTAAAAATCTATTCATCTGTTGTCTACCAGAAATATATACAACTATCATTTGTCAATTAAAAGAAAACTCAAGTTGGAGATGGTGGCACCCACCTGTCATCCCAGCCACTCTGGAGGCTGAGGCAGAAGGATTGCAAGTTTGAGGCCAGCCTCAGCAATTTAGGGAGACCCCGTCTCAAATAGAAAATCAAGGGCTGGGAAGTGGCTCAGTGGAGAGCCCCTGGGTTCTCCCAGCACCCGCTGGAGAAGGAGGTGCCCTGCTCCTTCAAAGCCAGCAGCCTGGGCTCTGGCTGCCCCCCACCCTGTGAAGGCAGCGGTGAACCTTCAGCTTCGGGGGTCTCTCCTCAGCCACTCAGTTCAGCTGCCCCAGAGCTGCGGCAGCCCCAGTGAAGTTCAGCAGCCGAACCTCGGGTGGGGCCCGGGTGCCAGGCCAGGATGGGCCCCTGGGGACGCTGGGCCCCTGGCCCTGCGCTGGATGATGGAGGAAGGGGGATGGAGGAAGGGGGAAGGCRGTGGGTCAGAGCACCCGGGGCTCTTCTCCCTGCTGCACGGAAAGAGCTGCCTGGGCCGGGGGCYGGGGCGCACACCTGTCATCCCAGCGGCTAGGGAGGCTGAGGCAGGAGGATTGAGAGGTCAAAGCCAGCCTCAGCAACAGGGAGGTGCTAAGCAACTCGGTGAGACCCTGTCTCTAAATAAAACACAAAACAGGGCTGGGGATGCGGCTCAGTGGTCGAGAGTCCTGAGCTCAATCCCTGGCACCAAAAAACAAAAGAGCTTCAGGGTGGACAGGAAAACTCTCCCACCAGCTGCTGCAGAGTCCCAAGTTCACCAGCGTGAGTGACTGAGCACCGCGTGCAGGCCCCAGCTCAGGCTCAGGGCCAGGTGTGGGCAAGGCACAGGTTCCTGTGGGGGAGACAGACACCGGGGAATGAACCCATGAGACCCAGCTTCGGCCCTGGCTGTGTGACCTTGAGGAAGTTCCTCCACCTCTCTGTGCCCCATAGGATGATACAGCAGAGTGCAGGCCGGGATGGAGCGCCGCCTCTAGATGCAGACACCGCTGTTATTTTAAGTCAATRAGCAAATCAATACGTCATTCTCCATGGTGACGAGTTCTGCGCACCAACAGAGCCGCGGCTGGGGAGAGCTGCCTGCTGTGGCCGGGCCGTCCCGAGGGCCCTGGGAGGTGGCGGTCAGGTCACACACCCTGCACCGTGTCCCGTGAGCGGAGACTCAGCAGCGTTCGGAGACTCAGCAGCGTTCGCAGCCCCCAACGCCCAGGAGGCAGGTGAATCCCCTGGTCCTCTGGGGCAGGAAGGTGTCTTCTGTAATCAGCTTTGAATCTGAGGATAAAGGGGGACGAACCGGGTGAGGCGCTGGTCACAGGGCCAGGCACCCGGCCGGAACCCACCACAAACCCCAAGACTCAACTCCGGCTCCGGCTCATGGGCCGCTCTCTGGGCTCCTCGGGGGAGTTTTGGGGCACCACCTCGGGCAGGAGAAGGGTCAGGGTGTTGGGGCCACTCGGAGGYGACATGCTTAACGCTGTGGACCCAGCGGTGGCCACTAACAGTCTCGATCCACACCAGCTTCCCCAACTGGTCACATCGTTGCTGTTTTGTTGTCTGCCACTTGCTGGCTGGGTGACCCTGGGCAACTTGGGAAACCACTTGGAACCTCAGTCTCTTCTTCTTTAACACCGAGTGCTGATAGCACAGCCGTGCTAGGTGTGAGTCAACGCGTGGTGCAGAGCAGAAGGAACCCCACTTCTGTTGGGGGGGGTCCCTGAGAGCCATTACCTGTCCCGGACAATGCTTCCAGCACCTTCTATGGATTCATTYACTTAATCCTTACAAATATTATGGTCATTTTCCAGGTAAGGACCTCAGGAACACGGGGGCAGCCAGGCTCTGCMCAGCCCCAAGAGGGCGCCAATCACACAGACCATGACAACCGCGGCCCTGAAGCTGTGACACACAGAGAGGTTAAGGAATGCACCCAAGGTCACACAGCTTGGCAGAACTGGGAGTGGACCCCGGCAGCTGGTTTCCAAGCTGGACTCCCCCTCTGGGTCAACCCCAGCCCCCCTCCTGGTGGCCCTTGAGATGGAGGATTTCTGGGATGTCAAGACGGGGTTGGCTGGAGCAGATGTGCTGTTCCTCTTTATCCTCAGGCCTCTGACATTTTGTCTTCTAATTGAGTCAGAGCGAGGCCCGAGCGTCTGGCTTGCTGTGCACACTGCGGTCTCACGCAGGGAGACTCAGAGACTGACGCTCAGAAGGCCAGGAGGGGACAGCCAGGGACACTGGAGAGGGAGTCTGGAAAAAATCAATGAAGTCGGC